TCGACAACGACTTAAAAGGAAGGAGCGACAGTTGTCGCACTCAGGAAAGGGATATTTTGAATCCAATTTTATCACTCCCGTGAGGGCGACATTTGTTTTCCATTGGAGTGATAATTTCCAGGACGTCGCTCACTGTAATATGTTTAAGTCACACCAATTTGATACAATATCAAGAGGTGCGGGTCAAAAGATCGACCCATCCGGTCAGTATGAAATTCAGCCACTTTCACCAAAACAGCCAAAGTAGCACATAACAAAAATTCATTTTGTGCTAAGGATTAACTTCGGTCTTTAACGTAAAGAGTTATCTCTTCATTTTGGTGAGATCATCCAGAAAGAATATCTCTCATTTAGTGTTACACAATTGCTATTCAAAGCTCTCTTAGCGCCTGGTGGGTAGGCAACATCTTGCCTTGAGCGCATACGCGCACCGCGGGGTGGCCTACCTTGAGTCTCGCAGGCGCCGAGCTCCAGACAATTGCCAAACGAATCTAAGAAACACGGACGGACGATCTAGACGATCCCTTAGATGGGCAAATACTGGTATATTGTTTATAATCGCGTATGCACAATAGACGGTTTTCACATCTACTGCAACCCAGCAAAGCCGTGCATCAACCGTGCAAACCCTTGAGAGGTTTTGTGCTCGAAATGAGTGAGTCGTCGAATATTGACTTTGGGAACCAGTGTTCCTACCATCTGCATATTATCTCCAATTGACAATATTCGCCTAATCCCAGTCATTAAACGGTTAGAATATCTCATATAGTTATTAGGTTATCTGTCTAAATACAGCGAATAGGTTAGCAGGCTGAACGTATCTTTTTTTCTGTGCCCAGTTATGTAAAAAGTAGCACGCGACAGCGCGCGTTATAATCGGTTATATCGGTTATAACACATATAAGCTGCGAAGCTGCTTTCACAATACACACTGTAAACATTTCTTGTCACGCCCGCACGGAAAAAAAGAGCCAAAAAAGTGACAGGTCAAAGTGTCTTAAAAGGGTAAAAAAAGTATACAAAACGTATGAAAAAAGTTTGCCTAAAGTGCCACCAAAGTGTTGCGGTTCCAATCTGCTTTTCACAAAAGTATACCAGAAAGTGTCATTGGATATACTTATTCCCATGCGGGATGACGATAATAGACTACCATGGCTAATTTTTAGAATAGAAACATTGTCATGGGTTTACTCGTCACAACCCGTTTGCTGATGACAAGAAAACCTGTGACGACGTCCCTGTATACTAAAAATTAGCCATGGTAGTGTCGTCATCCTGACAAGAAATTTTCACTAGCTAAAAACCGCAGAATTTAGTATGCAAGTCTTACCTGTCGCAAGCTCCGGCATGGTGGTTTAATCCTCAGTGCGTGGGCGTGAAGTTGCGCGGCGTATCGCAGCGTGTCGTGCACGGCCGAGCCTCGCCAGTCGCCGACTGCCTCGTGCGCCCGGGTCGGACCGGCTGGGCACCCCTCCCGCCACCAGACGGCCTGGTCTTCCCTCTGCCCCTCCCCTTTCTCTCCCTCCCCCCCCCCCCTCGCCGTGTGCCGTCTCATCCCGTCCGCTCGAGAGGAGTGGGACCGCGTGTGTTACGTGCGAGAGTCATTGTGGAGGCAGCGGCCCGGCCCGGCGCGGCGCGGCGGTGCGGTGGGGCGTTGAGGTGAGGGTGCACAAAAGGCCGATTCGAATATCGGGGCGCGCCGCCCCCGCCGCATGTGTCGTCCCCGTGTGATGCAACACCATGCAACACCTCGCGCAGGGTAACTACGTGTACACGTTTGCTCGTGTGCTTGTGCTGATCACCCCATAGGAAAAACAAAGAAAACTGAGAACACTTTGAAAAAATCACCAGGTACCATGGTCGGCCGTTGGGTTGACAGTGTGCGTCTTGAGGTCACTCTTGGGAACCGGAACGCGCGCTCACTGTTAAAATAATTCGCGTAAACTACGAAACGAACCCCTGATGAAAACAAACCTAATTGAACACCCTAATGTAAGCAAGTAATAAAAATTTTAATTTTAAAAAATCGGTTTGCAATTCGTGTTGAAATTTTAGTCGTTTTTTGTTCTTGCGTAGTGCTTATAAGAGTTTGAGTTATCGGAAGTTGATCTTCGGCTATTCAGTTGTACGGGTGTTAGGAGTTGGCTTATTCTATACTGACAAAAATATTTCTTACCGGGCACTAAACGTTTGTCCAATGCTCCCGACTTTCGTCCCAGCTCAAAATGAGATAGTGCCCTGCCATCGAGTTTTAGTGCTGTGCTTTAAATTTTCTTTGCCTGGGATGCCACGTTTAGCTTCCAGCGCTCGACGTAGATAGTGCAACGAAAAACCTTCGATCTGGTCACTAAATTAGAAGTTGACGTTACTTTTGAACACCTACAAGGGTAAAATGTCACCACAACTGGGTGTGTAAATTTAACCTCGTTGGATGTTAATTGTTTATTTTTCACCCACTAAGGTAAAATGCTTCCACTACTGGGTGTGTGAATATCCTCACTGTGAAAAATGTTAGTACAGCTACTGGGTAGGGTAGGGTTGGGGATTTGCAGTACATGGGTTAGAGATTTGCCTATATACAGGAATGGAAAGTAGCCTGCATGCCATTTGCGATGTAAAGGATCCTTTCCTGCCCACGCAAGTAAATTTACTGACATCATTGACTGCAAATTTCCTATAAGGTGGGCGACAGGAAAGGGTCTGTTCGGCACCCACCAATTGCGATTTTCCCCACCCTGGCGAGGGAACTCCGTAACCGTGAGCGGAAAAGTGTAACTACGCAGCCTACTGCCTTCAAATCTTCACGCGGCGGGAAGGGATTTTGCCACACATGGTCGGGGAACATTTACCCGTGCAACACGCTGGCTGCAAATTTCCCACAAATTCGTGATTGCCTTAGCATCGTGGGAGGAGAGGTGGGTTCGGACTACTATACTACACCGTCGCCACGCCGCCCAGAACAGATCACCTCTTTACTCTGCCCTCGGCCCCTTCGACGCAAAGCCAATGACAGACGCTAGATGGCGTTTCAGTTAGCGCGTCTCTTACAAAATCAGCTTTTCCTATTAAATTAAAATTCCCTTGAGAAAATGACATTTAATTTTACGCAGTGTTTTTGACAAGTAATGACCCTAACAGGCAACGCTCGGTATTTGACGAAAAATTCAATCATTCCTCAGAAATAAGCTGTAACTCTGTATCGCTCAGGAGGTCCTTGCATCGGCGCCTTGTTCAGTACGGCCCACGGCCCCGTCACCTGATCACAGGGCCCGTGCGTACTTCCTATCTGATTGGTGATTTAAAAGGTCGCTGCTTTGATATGTTCTTTTCTTAGGACCGATGTCCAAATTATTGAAACTGATTGCGGAAGCCGACGGATTTTGAAGTCCCATCGGCCTGAAATCAATGGGTCAAACTCTCAAATGTAGCAAAAGACGGAGAATGGGTTACTCGTTTTCATTCATTAACTGCTTGATACCTTTTAGGGAATTTATTTACCTCGTGGTTAGGTAAAAGCGACTTCCCTACCGCGAGAACAGAACAGCACCCCTTGGGTAGAGAATTTGCCCCACCCATTGGTGGGTGAAATTTACTTCACTGTGGGTGAGTGCATTTATTTACCCTGGTGACGTAAAGGAGCGTAGTGTCCCCTTTAAGAGAAAAATTACCCTCGAATTTTTCTACAGTGGCGGAACTAAGTTGATTGCTTCGCCGTTACCAAAGATTACAAGCCCTGTCAGTTCAAAAATTAGCACAGTAAAAATTTGCAAAACTACCAACTTTTGGGGGAATTCTGCCTGTTCAGGCGGAGAAATAGTAGGAAAAACAGTCGGTAGTATAGTTGAAAGCTTTTCAAAACCAGACATTTCCATGCACTTTGTATCCGGGAAAGGCATACCTTAACGGCATGCAACTTAAATTGGTGAAGACATGCACAGAGGAGTCATCAATTCACCGGTTTTAGGTGTGCTTTCATCTCTTGCACAAAGGCAAATTTTCAGATGTCAAGGACAATTTTTCTAATCATCACCGGACTTCTGTGTGCAGAACTGAGTTCAAATATAATATATTGTAACGTGCAAGTTACTAATGTGAGTTGCTAGTTACAATATAGAATCTGAGCTAGTTATTCCGACAATGTCCGGTAAGTTAGCTTGGGCCAAAATCGGGGTTCCATCCAGCTCACGACTTTGTTGGAACGGTGAGAAACTGGATAGAGCATAAAAAAATGACGAATGTCGGTGCTAACATAAACGTCTTGCGATGTCGGGAAGTGCTCGCACCTCGCGGTCAAAGATTTCGGCCCGATTGGGGGTCCAAATGCGTGGCGGCGCTCGGGCGGTGCTCACAGGCGATGAGCGATATTCACCACAAGTGATCTCTAGGATATGCTCTTTCCAACGGTGTGTCGCCGAACCTCAGGTGACATGTCGTTAGCCCTACAGATCGACGGACGACGGACGTCCGCTACAGCGCACTTAGGCCTTAGGCCCTACAAAATTTATGTTCCCATTTCGATGGATCCTAGGAATAAAGGCTGTTTTTCCACGCCTCTAAAACAAAGAGACCGATGTCGCGACGTGCTTTTCGGCACGGCAGGATCGTCGACGGTACAGCAGGGGCGGTGTTATTCGGAGGGGAGGGGGTGTTAAGGGGGGTTGCTCAACCTTTTTAAATTAGTCACGTGACATTTTTTTTGTTTCTCCTGAAAAGTAATGATTCACTAGTTTTCTCGTATTACCGCTTCTTAGAAGACAACTTAGAATAAAAACATGTCATAAAATTAGTCACAAGGAGATGTGAGTGGCGTTCGTTCCCTTCTCATTCAGCGGCAGACCAACCGCCAGGTGTGCTGGATAGGTTGCCTACGCGGAAGGCGTCACGCGCATTCTTTCTGAAGGATTCGAAATAATGACTGCATGTCTGCCGTCTGTTGCGCGTGCGCTCTAAAGTACAGGTGTTATCATTGATGGGCTTGTGGACAAAAAATACTACTTAGCTCTCATAAGATATGAGTTTTATTTGTATAAAAAAGTTGAGTATAAGTACAATTGGTGCTATCACAGATTTAAAACGAAACGGGTAAGGCAGAACGACATTCCCTGGTAAAACAAGTATCCAAAATTTTCACAACGTCATGCGAAGATAATGAATTTTTACATGACATGGTAATTTTTTTTATACAGTTCTATGCTATCTGAGCGCAGATGGTGTGCAGCTGCCAGTGTTTTCGGAAATCTATGAAGTTTGTTCACGTACAATCCAGTTCAGCACCACAATGGGACTAAACTTTGCACACTTGACACTTGAACTTGTTCATTAATTGATGTTCAAAATTAAACTCTTGTTCTACCAGTGTTGACTATTTACTAAGGGTATTTAGCCACTCTCCTGTTATCTTTTATTGTGCCGTCCATTCACCCTGCCGCTCCTTTCGCGCATAAAGTGCCTAGTAAATGAATGATATGCATGAAGCTTGTGGTAACTTGGTGGTTTCTTCCTTCTCACGATCAGCTCAGTCCACAAGCAGCTTCCTGAAGGTGCCGTCGAGCTCGTTGAAGTCCTTGTCAGGTTTAAGCTCCAGATCAGCCCGCATCCATTTGCGAGAGTCATACCATTTCTCGCATTCCTCTGCTACTCCGGCCCACGTTACTAAAAGGACATCAAAAGCAATAATTTCAAAACAAAACAAAACACATACTTTTAAACCAACTACCAATGTGCACATTTACATGGCGTATGCTTTAAGGGGGCATCCTAGTGTAGCGGGTTTAAAATAGGGGTTTTTTCGGGAATTAATTTTTTAAAAACTAGAGCTCTCAGAGAAAAGCCGATTGCAGGGTTTAATAGGTACTACTTTAAGCTTTAAATTTCAATGTCGCCGGTGCGGTTAGCCCCTCGTGTAGCGGAGCTATCCCCTGTGCGCCAACACGCTGCAGCGATGTCATCCCCTCATGGTGGGCATTCTGGAGGTCGAGCCGTTGGTCTGAACGAGTCGACCAAAAAAGGAAATTAAACTTTAGGAGTGTGGCTATCGTGTGAACCAGGACTTTTGCGATAGAACAAAATTTACTATTTTTTTGAACGTCTCAAACTTTCATAATGAAATTTTGACTAAAAATCTCAATGTTTTCATTTTTTTTCATTGTGAAGGAGGTATCCGATTACAGATATCCTGGTTCACACGATAGAGATACGCGAGAGGAACAACCACAAAAAATCGCAACCCGATCGGCCAAGCGGTTTGGCCGCTAGAGTGCCCACCAGTTCGAAAATAGGCGTTCCAAGAAAATCGCCGTTTAAGTTTTGCGACAGCCGACGTAGCGCTGTGTACTGCTTCACGCGCTAGGCTCTCACGGGCGGGAGAATTCGAATTGACGCACCGGACAAAGTGGGCTGTAATCTAGAGACCATAAGAGATTTTTTGAGACCAAAATATTTTTTTACATTTTTTGAGCCTGCTACACTAGGATGCCCCCTTAATAAAAGTATACCATATATGCTATGTACGAATTTGTAATGTATACGCACTAAATATGACCATGCACAAATTTCTGCATAGTGGACATAGTTGTGCATACCCACTCATGAAAAGTTGTGCATAACTATGGCTGCATAAAATTCTTATGCAAATTCTTATTTCGAAAATAATCTGCACAAATTTACGATTTTAAGCGATTTTCCGCAATTTTGTGTATTTTATTGCCATGTGTTGCGAATGCATGCGGCACATACTCTGACTCGGTTTTTCGAGTAGATCACGTTTTTGGCCGTTATATTTAAGTTCATAAAATATTTTTTGCTCCTGCCCAAATTTATTTATTTAGGCTAAATAACCCATAAGGATCCAATGTTAAAGTTTAAGACCAATTTTGCAAGGTCAAATATTGTCCGATTTTGATGAAATTTTTTCTGAGAGTTATCCTCACCAAATTACACTCTTTGGTCGACAAGCACCTCAACATTTCCACCAAAGCCTTATTTGCGACCACCCTACAGTATCATGTCCATTCTAGTTGCACCCGTTTCAGTGTTCTAGTTTCACAAACTTCTATTTGTTGTGAACTTGGGTAGAAACTAATTAAAATATTACTTGCGGTCAGGTATAATACATATGGCGAGTACTTGTTTGTATTGACAGAGTTCCCAGTGCGTACTGGCATTGATATCTCTGATATCGTTCAGTTATTTCATTTCTTACTGGTTAACCAGTGCTCTGAATTGACTTACAAGTAATTTCCTTCAAGGTTTTGTCCATTGATCCACCGAGCTCTTTGGGAAGGCAGTAGTGCGGTATCGCCTTGGCTAGGGCCTCCATGCTGTCGTGGGTCACTATCTGTAACAGAAAAAAAAAATGCGTAAAATTTTGATTTTACGGACCACTGTGCGTTCTTCAATTGTATAATATGCAGTCGCTTCCTAGTTTACCCGCTTGTTCAGTTTTTCCTGAAGGAAAGGCCGCACCATTTTGTCCAGGGCTGTCACTGCTAAGCTTGGAGCGTTGATCAAATGGACGCGGCGAACGTGGAGAGGAAGGGCGACCTGAAAGTATTAGGTCGTGGTGAACTTTAAATCTGTACTGTTCTGTCCTCGTGTTTTGAGTGTACATTGTGAAAAAAACTTTTGTGAAATATTGGTTGCTACTTCACAAGACCTCATGGTTTGGGGGAACGAAATTGCCTATGTTTGTGCGCAAAGTCGATTTTTGGATGGCGTGTTTGCATTAAAGCGTGCATTGCAGAAAAGTTCGTCTGATCACCAGAAAGCTAAACTAGTGGTCCACAGAGCCGTTCTTTTAATTTGCTTATGCTGTACTTGTACCGGATTCAGGCGTGCCGGTGGGTTGCATACTCGCACGGGACCATCAGGCGCCGGTAGGCAAGCCCGCCCGCATGCGGTACTGTATAAGCAAAATATAGGAAGAGGTCTGTAGACCACCCTGTATATTAGTAGTATTGTGGAAATTTCTCTTCAAGTATCTGTTTCCGTTTTCGGTACGCTTAACAGAGCAAATTCTAGCATTGTTCGAAATAATTCTATGGTCAAAACGTTGATTTAACGCATAGATTTTTTCACTGATAAAACGTCGTTCGCCTTATAAATATGATAAAAAGAAGGTCCTTGTAATTTCTCAAGGATTCCTTCACTGCAAAATAATTGCAAATAGGTTCGTATTGAGAACTATTTTGTTTGCAGCTTGCAAAGAATTTCTTTTCAATTTGTATTATCTCTTCGCAACGCTGTAAAGATTATATAGTTTGCATTGTTACAAGACAAAGATTTCCCGTGTGTGTCTGGTATAAACAACCCTAACGGGTTCGTTTTAAAAATACACGAAAAAAGATTTGGTTTACCTGAAGACATTTGATAAAGCGCCGGAACTCGTTGAAGTGCGCGACGAAAGACGTGTTGAGGCCCATGACGTAGTTCTTCACGTCGAAAACGACCTCAATCCGGAGGGGCTGTTTGTCGGTAGTGAGCTGAAGCTGGACGTATCCCAGCGACAGCATGTAGAACATCATCCAGTTCATGTTCGAGGGCTCGGCCGCCAGCGCCGGGGTGAATCTGTAGAAGGTGAGCCGGGTGCCGTCTGGCATGAGGACGGGCAAAGGGCCGCCGTGACTGGAGAGGGAAGAAGACCGTTACATGTAGGATCTGGCAAGCTCAAAACAATTCGGTGATCATGTGGTACTTCTTGGTCTTGAGCTCACCAGTACTCGGCAAACGCCACACCCTCCTCGATGCTGGGCGCTCGGAAGTACTCCGGCCAGCGGCTCTGCACGGTGAAGAAGTAATCGATCCTTTTCTTGGCGCGCTCGAGCGAGTTTTTGCAGGCGAGGATATAGCGACAGAGCCATTGGTCCTCTTTCTCTGGAGTCAAAAAAGGGCATCTTCAAATTTGTTTATTTACGGTTTTGCCATATTTTTGAAATTGTGTCATGCCCGCACACTTAAGTCGAATGTATAGTATTTTGTACATATTTAGAAAACTATGTGCAAGTATGAACAATTTTATTCGCAGTTCGACATCCTGCGCTAGTCTTCTACGAACGCGCACGCGCGACCGATTTGCGCGATTTCCGCCTAAGTAGAGTTGGAAATAATACGCAACAGCGCATGTAAAGAATACGTACTAAGTTCCTCTTAAAACATGCTCCTTACCTGTGAGTTTTGGGAGATGAGGCTGCATGGCAACCCACTCCCTGAGAGTGGCGGCGTCGGCCTTTAGAGCCTCGGGGTCTGCGTTGTACTCCTCGTACATCTTCGCCACCTGCGCTGGTGTTTGCTCGTCCAGCCCCGTCAACGCCACCAGATCCAGATCCATGTTTGTGTTGTGTTCTGTGAGGAAAAGAAAGAGCACCATGAATGTGGGCAACCCTACGCGCTCTCAATTGCGCGCTGGACAGGTAGGTAAGCGCCATGTCGGTTTTAGAGCGTCCCCCTTAATAGGAAGGGACACTTTTGGAACAAGATATAATAAGTGTCCTTGTGCGCCTCAAAGTCAGGTACAAATTTGTCTTCAGGTTGCAGACAAATAAGGTATTTGCGGTACTTGATCAAGGTAAAAATTTCGACAAGGTACATCAAAACGTACGTGAGGCCAGGAGGTGTCGGCCGCAGTGTGTCTCACACCATAAGGTGTAAGATGCACTGCGCCCCCGATACGCGTTCTCCTATGACTGGTGGCAATCGCGCTGGCGTATCCCACTGGAAAAACTAACGTTACCGAGGTAACGTTTCTTGACGCGACCACACCAGGTAACGTTTGGTGATGCAACCAGTTTGTGATGGCCCTATCCTTTTGCATGGGGTAGGTCGCATTAGGAAACGTTACCGGTCTTGGTCACATGATGAAACGTTACCATGGTAACATTAGTTTTTCCAGTGGAGCTCTGCCGCCCGGTGTCCAGGCAGCCCAACACGCATCTCCTCCGGCCATCTGGCCGCCTCTGTCTTGTCCATACTCCTAGGGGTAGGCAGCCAAACAGGCGTGGGACGACACCGACGATTTACCTGTGCCTCTAGCCTCCAGGGGCGGATGTGTCTCAAGACTGAAGGTGTGGGAACATGTGGGTTGCCTACTTCCAGGGGCTTCGTTTTATCTGATAACGTATCAACTTTTTGCAAGCCTCTTAACGACTAGCGTGCAGTTGACATTTGTACTTTAGATATCCATTGTTGTAGGAGTGATTGCAAGTGGCCAGCTTCAGTTTTAGACCAGACTGACCCGCAAAAGTCGAGTTCGCAACCCACCTGCTCTACACTAAGAAATCCATTTGATCCGCGGAACAAAAACCAAAGCTAAGGAAATTTTACTTCCGTAAAACATATTTTGATCCCCCTGATTTACATAATTTAGTAATGTTGATGGGTGTGTGATCGGCTTGATAATATTTTTGCCCGCCTGATCATATTTTTATTAAAATTCTTGATTAATTGTTTAGTTGGCTTCAGGGAGTAAATGTTAATTGATTCAACACTTTTTTGGTTATTATGACAACGCTTTTCTCGGTGTGCCTTACAATCGGCACTACTACCGGGTCCTGCCTCTGCCCGCCTTTGCTGCCTTAAGCGATGCTACGAGCGACGTGCTAAGTGACTAAGCATGACGTCAATCGATTGGGGTGTGGTGCACGGCGTGAAGTTATTGACGGTGTTGCGTGTCTATCCTGCACCTCACCCTCATCTGCTCTGTAAACACCGCAATTACATGGTACATCTCGAGATGTGTGTATTTTATAACCTACTTCCACAGCGTCATGACTATGACTGACAACGGTAATTTAGTAGACGATCCACATTTCGTCCTTTCAAGAAGTCAACACATATAAAACACCGGCAACTACCTGTTTTCTGGTGCGACTAGGACTCATTTCATTTATCACATACAGGGTGGGTGATCCGCGCCGTCATTTTCTCATGCTACTACTGTACCGGATCATTACGTGGGGACGGGTTGCATACTCGCACGGCGCTGTAAGGCGCTATGGCGAGCGACAGTAGGCAACCCCGCCCGCACGCGTGAATCCGGTACAATATAAGCATTAAAAGTGACGGCCCCGACGGCCCACCCACCCTGTACGCCCGGACCAATTATGCACCTATAGCATGAAATCGCCAGGGAGATTCACACATATCAAGTGAATTGTCATCAAATGCAGGCCAACGGGGATGTAGTTTTTTTGTACATGTTGTATGGAGTGATTCGTGCGTACGGATTTACACAAAAAAACCTGCTAAGTTATGTACTTATGTACTTATTATGGGCGGAACTTAATGTAGGAACTTTTCCTAAACTAGAGTAAAATTATAGCAAACTATAGTTTAACCGTTTAGCCGAGTGGAACAAGCCCCTCAAGTGTGTGCCTACCAGACACACACTCGTACTCGTATAACAGTTGACCAAAGGCGGGCACACACTTGGATGGGTGTGCCTGCAGGCACGCTGATGCTTGAGTGTCCATGGTCGGCAGTTGGTTTTAAAGTGTAGCAGGTACACTCTTGTAGGTGTGCGCTTGCAATTTGACTCTTCCTTACTAAGTACACCGTTGGGTTCGCAGTGAAGTGTTGCACATAATCATGAGGGTTTAATGAGTGTCGGGGCAAGCTTTCGCTATGTGTTCTTAAATATGATTCGCTTGTTATTTGAAGGAAGAAAAAAGTATGGCAGGAAAAAGGGGCACTCGAATCGTTCTTCTATAATGTTGTAAAGGTAATGACTGTGCTGTGGTCGGCGGGGGGCCTCGCCGCACACTCGCGACCGAGTGCGAGTGAGTCCGATGAGGGCCTCACTATCCCCCCTACTGCATCTCTGTCTTCCCCCCTCTCGCCCGTGCCTCTCTCTCTAGTTCACTATACTATGTTCTGGTAAATTTACAAAAAAATACATTAACAGAGGGTGTTTTTGTAAGATCGGTGGTGCAACAAAACTACTTGCAAATTAAAAAAGGAGAAAAATATGTAAAATGGGAAAGGAATGCCACGTTAAAGAATTTAAAAAAATTAACAGAGTATGTACACAAACTTACAGAAAACAAAATTAGTTTGCAACTAAGTTTTGAAAAATTATAAGAATGAGAAAACACAATAATAAATAACACCCTCTTTGTTAGACAAAATTACCAGTAATTTCTTATTTATCCAAATAGATCCTTTTACAGAGTTAAGCGTGTAAAAAGGCAAAGAATCCAACACAAGGGCCCGCATGAAAAGTTTTCATTTAGAGTAGCAAAAACTACAATAATGCAAATCCACTCATAATCTTTACAGCGAATAACGAGCGGCATCAGCAGCGTATCGACGGGGGAATTGCACGACCTCTAATACGCCTCATCGCTGTTCATAACCGTAGAGCAGCCCATTTTTCCAGACGTGAATATGGCTCGCTATGGAAGGGTGGACGCAGCTGGGCATGAAAACGGCTCGCAGATCGCTGTTGCCCGGTGTGCCCGCCTTTGGGCCCTCCTCTGGGTCTGCCTAGCTACGCCGGCATTCGACATTAGACGCCTTTCACAGCTGCACGCGGAGCGACGGGGAGGCATGAGGCATAGCGATTGGCCGGCCGCCCTGCGCGACTCTGTGCCCCGCGCACACTTTCATCCAAACGCCCCCGCCCTCCGTTATCCACCCCACTGCCCGCCACTGTCGCACTTATTAATACATCCGCCGGCCAATTACCGACACATTGTCTGGAAACGACTAACTTCTCTACGCAGCAGTAGTTTATGAGGAGTTCTGAAGCCTAACGTGTTCGTAATAATATAGGTTCGCCACATGAGAATTTATGAGTTGACACATAAAAACAAGGAACGGCTGACAGTCACGAAAGCTTACTCTACTGAAATTTGCTGTATTTAATGGACAATTTCCAAGTAACTCATTGCGATGCAAATAATTTTTAACCATTCCATATCATTACTAATTCTACCCACGACTTGTCTTCGCAATGAATATTAGGTCGCATGGGGATGGAAACAAACATATGGAAACAAATTTTCTTCGAAGTCCGTGTATTTTATAGGGGAATGCTAAATTTTCCTCTTCCTCTACTTTAACTATATTGTAGTCACCACGTCACCACTGTACTAACGCGAAAAAACCACTGTCAAAAATATTTTGTGATTTTCCACCACATTCTCAGCACAGAGCAACTTCTTCCCTGTCATGAATCGAGCATTTTGTTCCGTCCATTTGAAATAGTCGTTATAGACTAGTCTTCTACTTCTGAATTTTTGAAAACAAAGAAACGTTGTGATTTCCTTCAAAATCACATTGAGCTCTGGCAACTTTTTTCTCAATGAATTCTTCATAAGGTCTAATGTTTTTTAACAATGCTGCTGACATGCACCTTAGTGGTATCTTACTGTTTGTATTTTGACAACTGCAGCTGCACTTCATTGTAAATTGCTTACGAACAACAGGTTCGTTACGCAAACCAAAACCTTCGTTGCTTACGGAGGAAGTAAGCACAGAACTGTGGTATCTCGAAGTATTTCACAGAAGGTGATGGTCATCACGAATGTAAGCAATGAATTTAATGTTGTATTTTTTCTGCGATGATCATCACAACATCGTGCAATATTTCTGTACTTTCTTCTCCTTCCGCCAATGATGAGTGACAAAACGGGCGTTCCCGCGCTACTAACTAATGAGCCGTTTGACCACTTCCTTGTCGCTAGCCCAGGTGGGGGTCGCGTGCCAACCCGTCGCCGGTGCCACCGATACGCACACGTCAACACCCCTCATCTCTCTTTAGTACCATTTAAGAGTGGGAAAAGAAAACCAGCTAATGTTTTCTGCAGTCCAATAAACCACCATCCCCGCCCTCTGGTAGCTGGCGTGTGAAACCCCAGCCAACGCCTCGTGCTAGGCCACCCGCTGAGGAGGGCTGCGCTGCTGCACACTCATTGCCTACATACTAGGGGTTACATCTGAAACATTTCCGAAAGCAGGACTGCTTTCACCGTATGTCGCTTCTCCGACGTTTCTTTTCGATCTTTACATTTTAAATGTTTTAAGTTTATAATACATCTCGTTCAGCTTGGATGTTGGATGTCCTAATGTTCAATGAATCTTTTTAAAAAAACAAAAACAAAAACATAAAATTAATGCGTGAGAGGAATACATTTTTTCTGGACCAGACGCACCCGAGGTTAGATGGTATACGCAGAGTAGGCGCGGCGCTGGTGCTCCGCGCGAGGGCATATTCATTCCCAATGAAGTGACTTGCTGGGCGTGACCCCGACCGTCTCGCTATGGTCCCGCTACACCGTGCCATATGTAAATATAGCAGAGGTTACGTGCTGCGAATGGACCCGCCGCCGGCCGTGCAGCAATAG